GAGGAGGCTGTTCTCCTGGCACAGCCTGGGCTGTTCTCTCAATGTTATCTGAGATTAGGCCCACCACAGCAGCATTGTTGGTTGAGCAATTTTGACAATAAGCAAACTGTAATGGATCTAAGGTGTCGGGATTGAATGGCGCTTCAACCCGCCAAAAGGGGAGGTGTGCACCAAACAAGCAGACCGAGACGCTGAATGATCGGTGTACCCAAAACAAAATGAGCAGAGTGCAAACATGTAGCAATGTGGAGGTAAAGTGCCTTTTATGAGCTCATCTTGAATTCGCAGGTGGTAAAAATAAGATCATATGTACATGCAACAATGAGCGTGTTTATTCCAGCAGACGGCATTAGGTGTATTAAAGCGGCACTGAGCAGACTGATTGGTGAATGGGTACTTAGATGTCATAGACGATCGGTCTACGCAGCGCCGCTTTAAGTCGAACACACCTTTTTTTGTGGGTGTTCGGTAAGTTCCGTCATGAAATATACATCATTCAACCCAACCAATCAGGTTGTGAACATATCACTACGCCTTAAGGTTCGGTATCTTTAGTTTCGCTGTCAAAAATGCCAGTGCCAGCTTATTCGGTAGCCAGGTATATGGCTACCAGGGCTGGTGTCGCCAAATATTTTTAAAAAGTTTGCCATCCTAAAGAGTATTACTTTTAACTCCAGCAATGCCGTTTTTAAATCTACCATTAAACAAATTTGCTAAATTGGTAAGGACATTAGTCAGCATCATCCCCTGATCTCAACAGCAGACATGCACCTAATAAGAAATTCGGACGTGCTGTCACCAGACAGCCACTGATCTCGTCTGGAAAGTTTGGTTTGATGTACAACTACATCTGGCAAGACGAGGCAGAGAAGGAAACGACACCTAAGAAGGGACTCGTTTATCATAAAATGTGACGACAACGGTACATAGTACATTACTCTGTCCCATAATGCGGAGACCAAGAATCATAAAGACGGCTAGCTGTGCATTAAATTATTTTAATGCACGACGTGGAGGCCAAGAACCACCTAACGTGAAGCGGAGCAGTGCATTATCCCTTACATAAATAAGTGACTGAATGAAGAATAAATTTATGGTTGCTCTCTAAGCAACACACAACTGGCTACAAAGAATCTATAGATGCTTACAGCACTCAGTTTCTCCAGCATTACACTAACCGAACTGAGAATAGTTTCTTTCTGTAACGGCGGACCCTTGGGTATGAAGGTCGAAACTTTACTGATAATTTATATACTGATATATATCGATATATATATATATATATATATATATATATATTTAAGCTATATGGTATGAGGCATTACCATTATATCAATATACAGTGATTTGATACAAGTCAAGTCACCTTTATTTATATAGTGCTTTTAACAATACAGATTGTGTCAATGC